AACTTGACATGAAAAGTAGAAGTGAAACTTTCTTGAGACTGTCGAGGTGGCAGAGGGACTGGCAGGAAAGTGAACAGTGAGTAAGGGAGTATGCTCAGCCTACAATGTATCCATACATACACTTCGAACAATCTTAACCCAGGCCAGCCCTCTTCCTCCCGCCTCCTGTCTACGCCCTGCCAGGAGAGCAGGAAGTACAAACCGCCCTACCCTCCAGCTCTTGGTTGCCCTCTGCCTGCCACAGACCCAGAGAAGCTGCTTGGGAGCCAGGGGCCTTCGCCGAGGACCTCGGTGGGTTTGTTTCTGGTAAGGTCAGCTGGGCTTTTAAGAGGAAGGATCTTGATACTAAAACTTTCTAGGCTTCTGGGTGTGGGATCTGGAGGCCATATGGCTGTATAGGGATTCAGGGTTTCGGTACTGAAAGGGAAGCCGGGAGCTTTATCTGTGTGGGTAGCTGCCCTCCATCTTCTGTCCCCCCATCCCCTGGATGGATGTGCTTCTGGGTATTTCTTGAATGTACCTTAAATACAGCCATCTATTTGAAGCCTCCCCCTTAAACGGAAGCCAAAATTTAAATTTCAACAGACTTGACTACTCCATCTCCTTCCTGATCTACTTACTGCCCCCGAAACTACACATCTTCTGATACACTCATGTACACCCCCAAACACGAACACAGTCTTAGCGATTTGACTGTGTCTATGATCTGCAGTACTGGGAACCGAGTCCAGAACCTTACACATGCTGGGCACGCATTTTACCGCCCTGAGCTACGTCGCCAGCCTGCCCTTCCTATTAAAAATGAAACAGAGCCGTCCAGAGAATGAAACAATAAGGAAGCACAGATTAAAAACTCGGAAATCTGTACCAGTGGCGAGGTTAGGGCGAGGTTAATCAAGCGTCTTACAAGGGAAGTTATGAGTTACATTCAATTAGAAAATGATGGGGCTGGCTATACATTTTTTATTGAGGTTTGAGTGCCTTTGTGGGCTGTTTCGAACACCTGCCTGCTGGGGCATGTTGATTGTGTGTGGTGATCGTTAGGATCTTTAGGGGAGGGAGAGCCTAGTTAGAGCCCCCACCCCCTTTCTGGGAGCAGCCTTGCCTGGAGGCAGAGGCGGCACTAACAGTTAGGCTTGGCTTGAGAGAGACTTTGGATGACATGTAAACTTTTATCCCTGGAAAGTTCTAGCAAGTTTCATTTCATGTCCCCCACCCCAACCCTGTCTTGGAGGTAGTTCTCTAAACCACCGGAGGAGGGGTTCAAGGATTGCAGTCAACAGGCATGTGAGGCTTTGGCAGAGAGCCGCGGAGAGCCCTCGCTCTAACACAGTCTGGTGTTTGCTAAACTTTTAATATTTCTGGAAATACCGATTATTTGAAAATGTGATTATTTGTCTTTGTTGCATCCAATAGTATTTAGAATAAGATAGCATGTTTTCTATGAGTATGTGTGCATGTTTGTGGATATGCTTATGTGTGTGTGTTTGTGGGTGTGCATGTGTGTGTTCTTCATGTGTTATCTATCTTGGGTCTTTGCTGGCTTGAAACTCACCAAGCAGCCGGAATAGGCTGGCTGGTGTTATGAAAATTTCAAATTTTTAAGGTGTGTGCTGTTGAAGCCCTTGAGTGACACATGAATCTGCGTCCACATCTGGTGAGGTCCACATCTGGCGAGGTCCACATCTGGTGAGGTGATCCAGTTGTGACCTAGTGCGATCGTAAAATGAAGACTGTGGCAATCCTCTTCAGAGGCTGCTAGTAAAATGTGTCAAATGTGTGCTGCTAGGGATGCTTCTGAACACATACGTGTCTTAATGCATTTGCTTACATTTAAATATTGTCAGTCACACATATGTAAACATTAAATGTTCTTATATATTATATAGTGCAAATATATGTGTTGGGATTATTTGACAGCAGTAATAGAATATACACATGATGTGACAAACTCTTCAGATTTACTTATTGCCCACATAGTTATGCAGAAATGTGAATACATTTCAGTATAAAATGCCCAATGTAGCCAGAGAATTAATTCAAAATGACAAGATTGAAAAGATTTTAATTTTATTTTTATTCTTTTCTACCCTTCCTCTGTGAGGTGTTTTCAGGAGCAGAAGAACATAGCAAAAAGCATTATTTAAAAAATGGTAACAATGTTAATTTCCCATGAGTTCAGGCTACCAGTCTAGGTTCAATAAAGCAAGACCACAGTGTGGTCCCTCTTCTTACAGAGGAGGCAGACTAACAGGTTTTTATGCTGTCTCTCTCTCTCTCTTTCTCTCTTTCTCTCTTTCTGGTTTTTCAGACAGGGTTTCTCTGTGTAGCCCTGGCTGTCCTGGAACTTGTTCTGTAGACCAGGCTGGCCTCAAACTCACAGAGATCCGCCTGCCTCTGCCTCCCAAGTGCTGGGGTTAAAGGCATGCGCCACCACCGCCCGGCTCATGGTCTCTTAAATTATGTGAAACTGATTGCCTTTTGGGTACCATGACTAGAGAAACATGTGACCTTAACAAAAATAGCCAAACAGGACTGAATGCCATGTACCATGGAGTGCCCTGGGAAGCTTTGATGCCTGTTAACCGTTAAGCTTGATGGGAAAACTCCGTCAGAAGTCTCGTTATGTTGTTGCAAAGGTGATGAGATCGGTGAGCTGTGACCGGCACAGGGGCCAGGTACCAGTCACATGACATCCAGCTCACTGTCATCCTGGCCTCAGATCCTAACGGGCGGGCCGTTTCATTCTGTTTTTCTGTCAGGAAATGCTGTTAAAAGGCCATGAGTGTGGGAAGGGACTTGTAAGGAAGAGGGAGGGAGATGGGGTGAGAGGAAGATAAGAGAGGGTGGGGGTGTCGAGGGTAAACATAGATACATATAGGAAATGGTCAAAGAATGAGCTTAACCGATTAAAACAATTAAAATAGAAAAAAATACTGTTAAATAAGTGATACCTGAAAAGGCTGATTAATATAATTTCGTGATCTTGTAGTATTACTTATAGGGAAATAGTCTAAGGAAGTAGGGGTGTATTCAGGAATTTTCACTTTCATATCTGCCTAAATTGAATAAGGCTGGGGCTTGAGAGGCAACTCAGCGGTTCACAACACTGGATGCCCAGAGGACCCAGGTTCAATTCCTAGCACCCACATATCAGCTCACAACTGTCTTTAACTCCCAGATCTGACACCCTCACACAGACAGACATGCAGGGAAAACACCAAATGCACATAAATTAAAAATAAATTATTTAAAAAATTAATAATAAAAATTATGTGGATTATGCTTATATGGCAGCTACCTTATGGATATTAAAATCTGTGCTATAAAGAAAAAAGATATCAGAATGTACTTTCAATATTATTAATGGGAAAATAAGTATGAATAAAAAATTTTGGTAGAAGACAGGCGGGGGTGGCGCACACCTTTTAATAAGCACTTGGCAGGCAGAGTCAGGTGGATCTCTGTGATTTTGAGACCAGCCTGGTCTACAGAGCGAGTTTCAAGATAGCCAAGACTACACAGAGAAACCCTGTCTCAAAAGAACCAATATATATTTATTATTATAATATTTATATATTAATATTATATATTTATTATTTTCTACCAAATACATATATAGAAGTAAAATATTACTAGATGTTTATCTTTGGTTTGTGTAATTAAGGGTAATTTTAATCATTTCTTTTTCTTCATATTTTTCTAAAACAAATAATTATTTTCATCGGAAAAATTAAAAAGAAAAAGAAGGAAGTCTTGCCTCTTGTGGAGTTTTCCCTTTTAAGTGGGGTTTAACAGAGATTAAACTTCTTTTTTTTTCTGTTTTTTTTTTTTTCTCGAGACAGGGTTTCTCTGTGTAACTTTGGAGCCTGTCCTGGAACTGGCTGTGTAGACCAGGCTGGCCTCGAACTCACAGAGATCCACCTGCCCCTGTCCCCGGAGTGCTGGGATTAAAGGCCTGTACCACCACTGCCTGGAAAGATTAAACTTCTTCAAAATGTTAAGGATGTTTGGTCTAATGCCAATAAATACAGCTGGCCCTAAGTTAGGGTCTTTAAACAGAGGTTTAACTTAGGTTCAGGTACATTCAGAAGCGCTAATAAGGGGTCTGGTAAACTACAAGCCGCCAAAGGGCAGACATGTAACAGAAGGCCACGCTCACTGTCATTCCCTTCTCTGTCCTTCCATGCCCACGACCACGATTTCACTCTCCTTAGGCAACACAGACGCTGCTTTGTGTGCGGACCAGGGCCCTCTGGGAACCCACAGGTATCCACGTCCACGTGAGTGGAACCACCAATGCGCTCCGAAGCATGGTTTTCCCGTCATTTTCAATAGCGGAGCTCCACCTGTGTGAATGGCCGCGAACCCTGATTGACTGCGGTTTATGTTCTGTTGTTCAGCAAGACCACCGTGCGTTTCTTGTACGAGTTTTGGCTTTGAGGTCATTTACATTTACGTATGAAAAGACTCCTCAAAGTTAATGTGGGGTCAGGCGGCATTCTACAGTGTTGATGGTGACATTACCCAACTACATGTTTTAATTTCCACCCCATCACGTGGCCAGTTCGATGGTTGAAAACTGGCCTCTCATTATGCTTGCGGTTTACTTTTCTGTAAGAGAAGGTTGAGCATTTTTTTTTTCTCCGAAGACTGAAAAACTGTTGGTCTTTCTCATCCTTCCCCACTTCCCCAGATAAGGTTTTTCCGTACAATGGTCTTAGCTGTACTGAAACTTACTTCTTTGAAGAAGAACATTCAAGGGCTGGTACTGCTTCCTGCCCTGGACTACAGCCTTTAAGACATGAACACACCCAGGCAGCATTTCTCTCTGTTTTCATGTTCTCTCTACTTCTCCTTCCCTTCACCTCCCCTTCCGTGTTTTGCAAGGCCGAATCTCACACTATAGTAGCTGTAGTAGTTAAGGATAGCCTGATATTTACCGTGCTCCCCAGATGGCCTCAAACTATGGTAATTCTCCTGCCTCTGTCTCTTGACAGCTGAATTGTATGGACAAACCACCACGCTTTAAAAAATAATATCTGCATATATCACCCTGAACAGCCATAGAAAAGAAGGGCGCATTCCTGTTCTCACTCCTTCATCCCCACCCTGGTCCTTCAGGCCACACAGGGGACAATATTTATCATGAGGTGGGTACATCTGCTTGAGAACGTCCCTAACTTCCCTTTTAGTTTTTATAGAATATCTCTGAAAAATCTACTGCATTGTTTGAATATTATTGAAAAGCAGATGTATTTTTTTTTTTTGCTTTATTGTAATTTGTTTTTCACTTTTATCAACACATCTTGGATGCTGTTTCAGGAGATGGGATGTAGTGCTAAGGGCCACGTGCTGTGTGGTCAAGTCTGGCAGGTCCGCCATTGGAGTGCCTTGAGTTGTTCAAGGCTGCATTCCACAAATGCACTTAGTTGAACATGCGTGTTTCTATAGAGAGGGAATTATTTTTGTAGATTTATTTTATTTTATGTGTGTGCATGTGTGTGTGCGTGTGTGTGCATGTGCATGCGTGTGTGCGTGCGTGTGTGTACGTGTGTGTATGTGTGTATGAGTGGAGGTGCCTATGGAAACTAGAAGAAGGTGTCAGATCCCTGGAGCTGGAGTTATAGGTAGTTGTGAGCCACCTGGTATGCGTGCTGGGAAGTGAACCCACTTTTGAAGGGCTTCAAGTGCTTTTAACTGCTGAGCCATCTCTCTGGTCCCATTAGGAAATTCTTAGTTAAGAAATGGAATTATTAGCTTGTTCCTTTGTGTGCCCAGCAGTTCTGGTTTGTTGTACTTTGAACATGTAACTGTTAAGTGCTGGCCGGGTTTAAAATGCCATACTTTTTTTGTTTTGTTTTTGTTTTTGTTTTTGTTTTTGTTTTTGTTTTTGTTTTTTTTCGAGACAGGGTTTCTCTGTGTCTTTGGAGCCTGTCCTGGAACTAGCTCTTGTAGACCAGGCTGGTCTCAAACTCATAAAGATCCGCCTGTCTCTGCCTCCCGAGTGCTGGGATTAAAGGCGTGTGCCACCACCGCCCGGCATAAAATGCCACACACGTGTGTGCGCGCACACACACACACACAACACACACACACACCACCACCAACAACAACAACAGCAAACAAAACACAAAATAGAACAAAGACTCCCAGTACACTCATGTCTCCATGCCTGTTTAGTTTTTCAATATTTTTTTAGTTTATTTTATGGTATGAGTGGGTTTTTTTCTTTTTTCTTTTCTTTTTTTTTTTTTTTTTTTTTTTTTTTGTTTGTATTTTTTTTTGTTTTGGCACCCCATGCATGCCTGGTGCCCACAGAGGCCAGAAGACGAGGTCAGAACCTCTGAAACTAAAGTTACAGTTCTGAGCAGCCATGTGGGTCCAGTCTTCTGAAAGAGCAGCCATCTCTCCAGCCCCTTAAAATGTTTTGCCCAGGTAAAAGAATTTTCATGATAATCCATCAGTTATGCAGTGGAAAGATCCAGGGTCAAAATACACTGGGAATCAAACGCAAAGCAGATTCTTTTCAAGATGTTGACTGTGTCTTCTAAATCAAGAAAACTTGTTTAAATGATGATCGAATCTCGAGCTCACAAAAGACAAAGGAACTTTTGCTGTATAACTCCGATTGTCACAATCTATTAAGAAAAGAATGAGAGAGCCCCTGCTAGATGGCTCAGCCAGTAAAAGTGCCCGCTGTGTGAGGCGGGCAACCTGAGCTCTATCCCCAGAACCCGTGCAAAGGTGGAAGGAGAGAGCAAACCCCACAGAGCTGTTCTCTGACTTTCACACGCTGGCTTTGGCACACACTCGCCTACACTCACAGTGCACACAATAATAATGGATTCAGTTTAACTTCCAAAAGGATAACTGGGCAGTGGTGATGCATGCTTCCCAAGGAAGAGTGGCCAGTGGCAGAGCCAGGCTTTGATCAAGGTGGAGCTGTGTTCCTAGCCACGATACTTGTTGTCCTTCTGTAGAGTCAGCAATCCATTCGAGACTCTGGGTGCTTTGCTGAAGTCTGTGTCTGTCCAGTTTGCCTCCACATCTTGCATCCACCTTTCCTTCAAGAACTGCTTTTCCAACCCCCTCCTCAAAAGTCTCTTGCCTGCAGGAATCCCTATTCCTAAGACTGTTACCACACCAAGTCGAGATGGTCTGACCAGTGTCTCTCTGTAGCTCCACCTCCCTACGCGAAAGCTCCTGAGAAGTAGAAACCTCTTTGTTTCCCATTATCCTCTACGTCTTCCCTCTAAAATGCCCAGAACAGAGTAGATACAACCCGTATTTGCCAAGAAAGCAGCTGGGAGCGGGCACTCGAGTTCCTCACTTGATCGCGGTATATCATGTGTTGGCCCAGGTCCCCACCCTCCTACCTCGCGAAAGGAATGGATTTCAGCAGCTGCCTTTACAATATCTCCGAACAGCTGGGCAGTAATGAAGTGGCCGCCCTCAAGTTTCTGTGTTTGGACTACATACCACCGAAGAAGCAGGAGCCCATCAACGATGCCCTGATGCTATTCCAGGGGCTGCAGGAGAAGGAAATGTTGGAGGAAGGCAATCTGTCCTTCCTGAAGGAGCTGCTTTTCCTCATCTGTCGGTGGGACCTGCTGACCCACGTCCTAAACAGCAGTAAGGAGGAGATGAAGAAAGAGTTGTATGATCTAGACAAAGCTCAGGTTTCTGCCTACAGGTGAGTAGAAATTCTTTTTTCTCTCCTCTCTCTGTATATGGGTGTGTTGAGGGGTCTGGGAAGCACGGGCTGAAGGGACCTGACTCTGCAGATGTTACTGCTGGGGTTCATATTGTGAAGTGACTCATGAGACCCTGGGTTCAATGAAGTCATTTAGGGGCTAGATAGATAATTTGGAGAAAAATGCTGAAGCCATAAAATCATTTATTTTTCATGCAGCATGACAGAAAAAAAGGAGTGCTGGGGAGGAGAAGGGATTTGGCTGCAGAAGGATAAGACAGGCAAAGCATATGTCAGGGCATATGGTCAAAGCCCTATGTCAGGGCATATGATCAAAGCCCTATGTGAGGTCATATGGTCAAAGCCCTATGTCAGGGCATATGGTCAAAGCCCTATGTCAGGGAATATGGTCAAAGCCCTATATGAGTGGATATAGTCAAAGCCCTATCTGAGGGGATATGGTCAAAGCTCTATATGTTAGCTACTTTCCTATTGCTGTGGAGAGACTGAATCACCTGGGATAGTTGTCTTTATACGTGTCTGGTCCTTTTTTTTCTGAACACACAAACTTTTAAAGGTAGCATACATACCTATATTAACACAGGCATAGAATGTTTGGTGTGCACAAATCAGCGAAAGACGATTCTCCCATCTATATTTGAGTAGGTAAAAGACATCTGCCAACTCTATAAGTCCCTCTGGACTACATAAAAATTGTAATATAAATCTCTACGTATGCTATATGAAGGGATGGCATGTTAAGAAATCATAAGGACTTTGTAGCTAAGATGTGCCATATCGCATCCAGTCTCAGAGCAATTCCATAAAGGACCAGCACATATATCATCCGTCCTGTAGCATTTTTTGGTTTCTTCCTTTATGTCTGTAGTTAAGATTTTCAGGAAGTCTTCCTTGGTAAAATCTGACCTTTATCTGTGCAAACAAAGGCATAACCTCTCCCCCAACACAGTACATTTCCTAACTTCCATTCTAAAGTACAAATATTCTTAAAATATATAGGCTGGTTTAATTCAGCAGTTTTCATAACCCAGTGTCTCTTAGCAGCTATTGTTTTTTGCTCATTAGCATTTGAAAAAAATTCAAGTTAACAAAGCACCATATAGGATCCAAATGTTCTCTGTTATAATAGTCCCCATCCTTATGTGAGTTATTCAGGATCCAAATGTTCTCTGTTATAATAGTACCCATCCTTATGTGAGTTATTCTTTTTATATTACTTTACTCTTTTTTTTAAAAAAAAAAAACTATTTTTTCTAAGACTGTCCATACCATTTTCTTTTCTTTCTTTGGCATCTAAGCACATTTTAAAGACTACTCTTACCTGTTCAGAGATTTTTCTTGGCCTGGACCTGGCAAACGTGTGTGCATTTGTGTGTGTGCATGTGTGTGTGTGCGTGTGTGTGTGTGTGTGTGTGTGTGTATCTGCTGTTTCTCTGACCACGTGAGACAAACCTTAACCTGCTAGGCTACCTGTGATGGGGCTCTGCTTAGCACATGGTGCTGGCAGCTGACTCCGTCCCATTTGGGTCGAAGGGAGCCAAGCCTCATGCCTGCGGGCCCCCACCTGGAGCCAGCTTTGGTAAGTTTCTGAGCCTGCGCTGTGGCTGTTGTTTCTATCTAGTGTCCCATCCTATCGAGTAGGGTTCAGGTTCTCAGCTGCATTGCAGGACTTCTTAAAGGAACTGTGCCTCTGTACCCCTCAGGCCTCTGCTCTGCACGAGAAACTGCCATTATGGGCAAGCTGTGACTGGCTCCATGTTCAGAACTTTTCCCAGCTTTCTCAGGTCCTATGTGTATTTGTGCGCCATGTGTGGAGCACCAAATGTAGTTGGTCTTTTTCATCAGGGCTTTTTTTTTTTTTTGACCACTAGTCCCCAAATAATGATACAAAGACGTATTATTAATTATGAAAGCTTGACTTTAGCTTAGGCTTGTTCCCAGTTAGCTCTTAAATAACTTAAGTTAACATGTTTTTATTAATCTACATATTGTCACGTGGTTTACCTCCTCTCCGCGTCTGGCTAGCATCTCCTGCAAGCCTAGATTCGTCCTGAGTTCCTCTCTCCCCAGAGGGCCCACCTCTTCTCCCCTGCCTAACTATTGATCATTCAGCTCTTTATCAAACCAATCAGTTGCCTTAGGCAGGGGAGGTCAAACATAGACAAGTCCTCCTGCCGTGTAGACAAATACCCTGCCACAGAAGAGTGCATTTTAGAATACAGTTGCGGAGGGGAAATAATGGCAGCGGTAACATGGTAACAAGCTGGCACGGTGTCGGGAGCAGGAAGCTGAGAATTCACATCCCCCATCCGCAGGAAACAGGAAGTGAAAAATGCAAGTGGGTCAAGGCTAGTCTACATTCTAAAAGTTCCACAACCTGTCCAGACTGCCTGGGGACCGAGGGTTCGAGTACAGAAGCCTATGAAGGATAGTTTCCATTCAAACCTCCACAAGTCACTGATACCCACAATTCAATCTGTTACAATGTTGCATCAGATGCAAAACATGTGTATAAATGTGTGACTACTTACCGAGTTATTAACTTTGCCAACAATGTGGCAAACAATGTGGCATCCTAAGAGCGCCTTGGTCTACTTCAGGAAAGGGACCACCCCACACTGCCTCTGGGCTGGGCGGGGGTGGGGGTGGAGGGGTGGGGGTGGGAATGGAGAACTCTGGAGGTGTGCTCACTTTCAGCTGCGTTTTCTCACCCGCTGAAATAAGCCGTGAATACCTGACCCCTTCCCTGTACCTCACAATGAATTCTCCTCCTCAGCAACGTAAGAACTGAGACGACCACCCTGGTCTTACTAAGAAGGGCAGATTCACTCGTCCGTGACACTCTCAGTGGCATCACTTTCTGACACCCACCACATGTGTCCACTCTGTCCACGGTTAGGGCCTCAGTCACGGCTTCCCACACTAACCATCCCCCACCCACCTGCTTGTGCATACATGGAGAACCCTTCCACGGCTTTGCTACTCAGATGACAGGGTTCTCCCATGACGCCTGGCCCTACAGACCCTACTGAACCTCACCTTCCACTGTCTTAGGAGGACAGGCCATGTGTATTAGTTCTGTTTCTTGGTTCCGTGTAAAGGAAGGAGTGCTTATTTCGGTTTATAATCGGAGGGTGTGGCCAGTCATGGTGAAGACGAGGCGTCAGGAGCTGGGATAGCTGGCTGGTCACACATCCGCAGTCAGGAGGCAGAGAGAGAGACAAAAAGCAGGTGCCCAGCTCATTTTCCTCTTTATGCTGTCAGGGACTACGGCCCACGTAGGATGCCAGGCTTTTTCCAATCTAACCCCCCTTCCAGACCAGCCCAGAGACCTATCTTCTCAGTAATTCTTAATCCCTTTGGCATTGGGAACTCCACTTCTCCCCACCCTAGGGAGAGTAGGCAACTGTGAGCTCCACAGAGTCACGGGGTCATGGGTCAGTGGCTTGGTTTTTTAAAGCAGAAGCGCTTTGTCCCCTTCTCCTTTTCAATGCGCCTTGTGCTCAGCTGTCCTTGAAGCGAGTTTTAGTTCTTCTCTTAGCACTGCTACCGAAGCCTTAGCCTTCCTTCCTCGTCAGTAACCTTGGCATGGGAGAGCCTCACAGCCAGAATTGGCAGCCACTCTTTCCTTGTCCTGTGGCTTCCTACTTCAGGCGTGACCGCGCTGACGTTGACACCAGATGTATTGTTTTCCTAGGGCCATCATCATCAAGTATCACACGCTACTTAGCCCAGTGTGGTTGGTGGTGCATACCTTTTATCCTTGCACTTGGGACACAGAGGTAGGCAGATGAATCTTTGAGTTTGAGGCCAGTCTGGTCTACGGAGAGAGTTCTAGTACACATAGGGCTACAGAGACAAACCCTGTATTGTAAAATAAAAATAAAAATAAATCAGGCTTTTTAGGACACCAGACATTGGGTCAGACCCCACTCTCCTCCATCATAATCATAACCTAAGTTAGGTTACCTCCTTACAGTCTAGGTATACAGTGACTTTTGAGGGGACTACTGTACATGAGTCAACCAGGAATGCTGTAGTGCTTGAGTTTACTAGACTTATAAAGTCTAGTAAAGGACTTTATAATGAATATTATAAGGAGTTTATAATGAATATTAAGGCACCTATTCATCATAAGAAATGATGGCCCCAGAACTAGGAAAGTCAGGGTGTGTGTGTGTGTGTGTGTGTGTGTGTGTGTGTTTGTGTGTCCTCAGCTTGTGCTACCATCTCGGGCTCTTAAAAGTTCCCGCCTTTTGAACTAGACTGAAACAAACCACACCGCCAACAGTGTTTGTTACCCTGCTGGTACAGTGTCTTAAGTCCCCTGACCAGGACAGGAACTGCCAAATACCTAAACTCTTTGATTGCACACTGAAGGATCAGCAAAGGGTCACCGCTGAATGGTTGTTGGCCATTGTCTCAAATGAGCCAAGAGAATGAAAATATGCGTGTGTGGTACCCCACCATAGAATGCTCTAGGTGTTCTCTTTTCATATTTTAACTTCTGCCTCCACAGCGTCTGACAAACTATTCCAGTGTGTTACTAATAACACTAATGAAGCCTGTGGGTCTCAGTAATGAGGAAGATAAGAGACTGTTGTGTGATGAAACTTTTCCTGGGGAGATACAGCACACACATCTGCTCGCCCTAAATAGAACATACCAAAATACGGGTACTGCCAAAGTCCAGCTTGGTGAACCAATGAGTTTTATTGGGGTTCCTTATAGGAATGTGGGTGGAGGGCTACTTACAGGCGCAGAAATGATGCAAAGACAGCTGTATCACCAAAGCCCACCCCAGCATGGGTGACAGCTCACAGAGCTGGGAACCTGGAGCTTATGGAACACCCAGCCAGCAGGCAGCTCAACAGGCTGGACCCTGTCCTTCCCAGGTGCCTCGGCTGTTCTAATCCTTCCAGGGCGGTTGAGCTGGTTTCTGTTTATTCCCTGAAGCTGCTCTGGTCTCCAAGTCTTTGCAGTTAAGCTTCCTTCAGTTTGAGAGGTCCTTGAGCTTTTATTGCCTACTCTGGCATGGTGGGTCTAAGTGAATCTGATCAGTTTCAGGGACTTCCTGGAGCTATTTTGGGTTGTTTACTTTCCCAGCAGGATAGAATGTTTCAATCTAAGAGGAAACTGTAACACAACAAGGACTGGCTGTTTTTGTTTTTTTTTTTTTAAACTAAAGTTAAAAGAGCCACGGTAGCTTTGGGCTGGACCAATCATGGCCAAGCTGAGAATGCTTTAGGGAAGTGTTTTTGGGACAGACATTTCTTGAGATGTTGGTAACCTGAAGTAGCTTCTGTTTCCAGACTATTTCTTTTTCCAGAATATTATTTCCCAATTCAACTTGGAAACCATCATATTGGCCTATTAAAGATATTTTTCTTTACACAATACTGTTGAAAGTTTTGCTGACTTATTTTTTTCCAAAAGTTTAAAGATTTTTTTTATTTTTAATTACATGTAATGTTTGGGTATGTATATGTGAGTAGAGGTGCCTTCGGTGGCCAGAAATCTTGTCCCTCTTCTGTAACTGGAGTTACTGCTGATTGTGAGCTGCCTGATTTGGATGCTTAGAATTGGACTCTGGTCCTCTGCTAGAGTTTCATGTGCTCTTCACTGCTGAGCTACGTCTTCATCCCTAATTATGCTGTCTTCTAAAACATTCTTTTGTTTATTCATTTGGCAAGCATTTTCCAAGATCTTAAATGTGCCCAGAAATAATAACGCTTCTTTGGTGGTTGGACAGAAAATGACCCCCAAAGGGAGTGGCACTATTAGGAGGTGTGGCTTTATTGGAGAAGGTGTGGCCTTGCGGAAGTATGTTACTATGGGGGTGGGCTTTGAGGTCCTCTATACTCAAGTTACACCTAGTGACACAGTTCACTTCCTATTGTTCGTGGACCAAGATGTAGAACTCTCAGCTCCTTCTCCAGCACCATGTCTCACCATAAAGATAATGGACTAAACCTTTAAAAGTGTAAGCCACCCAAATTAAATGTTTTCCTTTGTAAGAGTTTTCAAGGTCATGGTGTCTCTTCACAGCAATAGAAACCCTAACTAAGACAGCTTCTGCCACTTACTGAACGTTTAGTGTGCTTTCTCATGCTGCCTAACCGTCTGGGCAATGAGGGACCTTATATGTGATGTTGGTCCTGGGTTTCTCACTAGTGATGTCATGGTCCTCTTGTTTAAGACCACATTGTGATGTTCACAAAATGAAGAAATCACTTGATGAGGATCTCAGAATGCACGGTTATCTTTAGGTGACTGTAGTTCATGGAAACTTACGTAATTTACACCTGTCTGTGATGTAGATATACATTTATCTTTTACCTACAGATGAGCCAAAAAATGTGCAACATTTCTGAAATTATAGAGTTCAAATATGGTGGGACCCAGAGTTATAACAAGGGTAGCCTGAGGCGTCTGTACTCAGACACTACACCTTCCGAATCTCAGGTTAATGGAAATAAAAAAGGCATGAGCCAGGCTGTCAGAGGACTTGGCAGTTTGTCAACAGACTTGATAAACAATTAATAAAAACTCAGAGAGAGAAATTGGGGTTCAACCTGAAGGTCAGAAAAGCAAAGCAGCCAGTCACTGGCTCTTACCTCAACCTCAGTCTGAAAACGGAGATCCCGCCTCCAGGAATCTCAGAGTGCAACTGAGTCTGAGAGCTGTCTCCTCCCATTTTATAATCCTCTCTAGGGCTAGTATTAAAGGCATGTACTGTCCTGTTTTTATAGCAACTAGTGTGGCTACTGGGATTAAAGGTGTGTGTTACCACTGCCTGGTCTGTAAGGCTGACCAGTGGCACTGTTTTATTCTCTGATCTTCAGACAAGCTTTATTTATTAAAATACAAATGAAATGCCACTACACAGACTGTTGTAATGTGTGAGTTATCTTTCTGGGGGGGAACAAATGAAGGTTCAGAGAGAGAACAGAGCCCCAAGGATGTTCGGGCAATATGTAATTGCAGGTGGGCAGTGGGTGTGTGCAACGGGACAAGGGAATGGAGGGTGGGGAGAGCGCAGGGCAGTTGGTGGTGTTGAAAGCTTCAGGACCTTTGGTATTGGTAAGAGTGGAGGTATGCGTGTGTGTGTGTGCGTGCGTGTGTATGTTCAGAGTCTCTTATATTTTGCAACCAAATGTTCAGCCTTCTTTATGAAGGAAATGGCTGGGACACTGACCAGCTCTTAGAAGGGAATCCGTTCTGATAATGCATTGTGGGGAATATAATCCCCCCAGATCATCCCGCCATCTTGATTTTTATCACGATAAAAAGCAACATGATTCTTTTAGCTGAAGCTAGTTGGAAGACAAAGGTAGTGAGACTCTGCTCAGAGTGAGTCAGTTGGTTTGACTTGGTAGACTCTACCCGGGCTCACCAGTCAGGAAGAGTTGGAGGCTCTGGGAGTGACCTAGGATGTGTTTCTCAAGTGTCTCCATTTCCCACCGCAGGGTAATGCTCTTTAAGCTCTCAGAAGAAGTGAGCGATTCAGAGTTGAAAGAGTTTAAGTTTTTTTTGGAAAGGAAGATCCCCAAATGTAAGCTGCATGATAACTCGGTAAGGCCTGGGATGTCCCCGAGATGGGTCGCCAGCGGGGGTTCTGAAACCAGAGGACACTGTTTTGCCAACCTTGCATTCAAGGTTGTTTCTGTTTGTTTGTTCATCTGTATGCTTGTTGAGGTGTGGTATCGTGTAGCCCAGGCTGAACCTAAACTTGCTCTGTAGTCGAGGATGACCTTAAATGTTTGATCTTCCTGCCTTCGCCTCTTGGGTGCTGGGATCACTGGCATGTGTGTGCTCCCAGGATGACATTCAGCGCCTTTTGCATGACAGGCAAGCCCTCTTCCAGCTGAGCTATGCCCAGCCCCTGTGTTCTCACTTCTTACCCAGGGAAAATAAAGTAGTTAGACAGAGGTAGTAGTTAGGGCTTTACAGTGCTTCTACACTGTAAAGTGCTTAGCCACGGGACAGAGCCAGGGAAGGTAAGTTGTGCAGTGCTATGGGACCTAGCAGGGCCAGGGGGAAAGGTAGCCTGGGGTTGAAGCTTCCTCGCTTCTGCTGCCCTTGAGATACCATTTTTGCTTATTTGTGTGCCCCCTCCCATGTGTGGTGTCTGTTTTTATGAGCAGGACGTAGGATGCATGTGTCTGTGTCTCCATGATGTATCTATTGCGTGTGCTTCTTATGTGTATGTGTGGCATATGTACCTGTGTGTACCTCTGGGTGGTCTCCCTGTTAGTCTGAGTCTATATATGTGTGCGGGTTTCTCTGTGTGCTTGTGTCTTTGCGCGCTGTGTGGTGTATGGTCTAATTTTGATGGAGGCTTTGTCCAGGTGTGTCTCTGTGCATTTGTGTGTCTGTGTGTGTGTGGTGCATGCATTTCTGTGTATGTGTGCATTAATTGAGGTTTAGGGGTGGATAAGACAGCGGTATAATGCAGGCTCCAGGGCTGTGCCTTCCATACTCCTTGGGCTGGTCCACAGACGAAGGCACCCACATAAAGTTTGAGAACAAGGCCTGGGGACGTCTGACATGGCTTCTCTATCTTTCTGCTTTTTTTTTTTTTAAATCCTTTTAGGCTAGAAAACACAGAATGGCCTTTCTGATTTCTGTCAACTCTGAGAGATCAGCCTGTGCTCAGATGTGGGAGGGGGGATCTACTTGGGAAATAACACTGGGCTCTTGCTTCGGAAGGAGTGGAATTAAAGGAAACGAAACCTAATCCCTGGGCCTGGGCACTCAGTCCCTCTGTCCCCCACTTTCTCCTCCCCAGAGCCTGCTGGATGTTTTTGTGGAAATGGAGAAGAGGCTCATCCTGGGGGAAGACAACTTGGACACCCTGAAGTCAATCTTTGACCGTGTCAAGAAGAGTCAGATGCGGTATATCGAAGAGTTTGAAGAATCAAACAGAGGTAGACGGCCGATGGCTGCGAGGTGACAAAGCCACCAGAGTCGCAGTTCTTTCTGATAAATTTTTTTTTTTTTTTTTTTTTTTTTAATTCAGAAAGAAGAATGAGCCTGGAATGCAGGGCAGAGGCGTCAGGTTCATTTTCGGATGGTAATGCTTACAGATACATTTCTTAAAGATTTATTTGTGTATGTATGTATACAGTATTCTACCTGCATGTATACCTGCAGGCCAGTAGAAGGCACCAGATCTCATTACAGACGGTTGTGGGCCACCATGTGGCAGCTGGGAATTGAGCTCAGGATCTCTGTAAGGACAGTCAATGCTCTTAACCTTTGAGCCACCTCTCCAGCCCTACAGATGTATTTCTTAGGTGCCAGGGCGCTTGATTTTCCCCATGCCCTCTTCCCACCGCCTTCTGCTACAGCCTAATGTTAGGATGAAAGTTCAGGGGCCACTTGGCACCTCTGCTGCTCTCTGAAAGGCCAAAAGGGCTTGCAAAATCCCCCTGGGACCATCTGAAACAAGCGCAGAGTTATTCTGTAAGAGGGTCTCAACTCTGTTCTGGCTGTGTCTGCTTTCGCGGAGAGACATGAGGAGCTGGATGCAGATGATTTTCCAGAACATTCCTTCGTTTTGATTTGTTTGAGGCAAGTCTTTCTACACAGCCCTGGCTGTCTTGGAGTGTGTGTAGATCAGGCTATCCTTGAAATCACAGAAATCGGCCTGCCTCTACCTCAAGTGCTAGAATCAAATGCAGGTGCCATACCAACCTGACTCTCCCCACAGAATGTTCTCGACCAAGGTTCTCTGCTCTGTGAGAAGCCCCTTGGTCAAGGGTTCATAGTCTTTCCCAGTCTCTGGGTAAGTCCAGGCTTCCACTGTACCTGACTTCCTCTGCCTTGTACCTACCTTAGCCTGGGGATGCTCCAGCCATGTCCCCTGTTCCCTTCTGAGGGAATCAGTGCTATCTGTTAGATAGGACCAGCAGAAGGTTTCCTTCTATTTTCTGTTTGTTTGAGACAGGGTCTCCCTATGTAGCCCTGGCTAGCCCGGGACTCACTCTGTAGACAGCCTGGTTTCTAACTCACACAGATCTCCCTGCCTCTCCATCCCAAGTGCTGGGATCAAAGCTGTGCACCACCATGCCTGGCTCATTCAAATTTATTTCCAACTGTGTATATACATGGGAACATGTTCACACAAGTGTCGGTGCTGATGAAGGCCAGAAGAGGGCACCAGATCCCCTGAAACTGGAATTACACATGGTTGTGAGCACCGTGCGTGGGCCGTGAACTGAATTTGCATTCTCTGCAAGAGTAGCAAAAGCTCTTGCAGCCCCCTTTATAATTTTTTATTAATCAGATATTCTGTTAAAACTTACATAATTATTCAAATCACCTTGGGGGTGATTTTTAAATTCAGAGAAAAAAAAAACAGCACCACCAGCCCTCTGTAAACATTAATGTCTTTCTTATGTTTTCACTATTATTTTTGCCGTGTAATACATGTTGGAGTGCTCTCCTGATTTATTGTAAATTTACGTGTGAGTGCATGTGACTGAGCAAGTTTATGCACACCACATCTGTCGCGGGTATGTCTGAAGACGGCATCAGATCTTCTGGAACTGGAGTTAGAGATGGTTGTAAGCCGCCATGTGGGCACTGGGAACCTCTGGCCCTCTGCAAAGGGTGATAAGCTCTCCGCAGCTGAGCCATCTCTCCCACCCCGAGGATCACCCTCCCTTAGAAGGTCAAGTCACAGAGCCAGTCAGACCTTCCCTCTGTCCAGGCCTGCCTGAGCCAGCTCTTCAGTGTGTTTGAATCACCGACTCATCCTCACCTCCTGCTTTGATCAATGACTTGACCGATGACCACAGCACAGATGAAGCAGTTTGGGTTTCAGTTCATGCTAAGTGCCTTCCTGCAAGATCTACACGTCTGAAATGTGTTCAAGGCAGTCTCAATGTTTATATTGCAAAGGACGGCCCTTAGTTGGGGCAGTGAAATGCCTTAGGTAAAAGTGCTACTTTCAGGGCAGGTGATATGAGTTTGATCTCTGGAACCCATGTAAAGGGAAGGAAGGAACCAACCCTGTAAAGTCCTCTTAGGTCTCCACACACATACCACTGCCTGAGTGCTCCCTCCGTCAGGCATATGTGCAAGAATGCTTCATACGCACGCACGCACATGCACGTGAAATGTTTTTAAGGTTCTTAGGTTGTTTTAGGCATTCCATATTTCTTTACCGAACAGCCTTTGCCCCCAAGTCTCTCACTCTGCACGTTTTTCTTGGTTGCTTGCAGGGCAGAGCTGCATGAGAATGCAGGAAATGTATGACTCCCTAAAAGAAGAAGACAGCAACTCCCAGGTACACACACCTCTTCCCTCCCTCTTTCCACTGAAGTGTCTGTTTCTGGGCGTTTGTTGGCTCCTTTTAAGCTGCCAGAGAAGCCGATAAGGGGTGGAGCCTTTTGGAAATCTTGAAAACTCTGGAGAAAAAAAACCTACAACGGAACCAGTCCAGGATGTGGCCTCTCCAGTTTTCTTTGTGTTAAATCGGTAACACTATTATCCCTGTTTGGTTTGTTGGTTTGTATTCTGAGACAGGGTCTCCAATAGCTCAGACTGGCCTTGAACTCGTTGTGTAGCTGAGAATGACCTTGAACTTTTGACCCCCCCACCTCTACTTCCCAGGTGCTGGAATTATAGGTGTGAGCCACCACGCCAGGCTCTCGTTTTGTTCTAAGACCAAAAGCAAAGGTCTAAGAATTGCTGGAAGGTAGAGGATGTGTGAGACCTCCCTCTTCTAGCAACTGTACCAGCTAAAATGAATGCATGCGTGGGAGGCGTGGGAGGGCTTCAGAGAAAATAGGCGCACGGGGGAGGGGGGGGTTCGGGAGGAATAGCCCCGGCAGGCTTTCTCTTTTAATCTGCCCTTGTTAGGCGACAAACAGGATCTCAGCAAGGCTTACTTTTCGTCTCAGCGAAGCCTGTAGAAAGATTTTCTTTATAGACATCGCTTCTATTTAGTCTTCAATAGTTCCTGAATATAGTTCAGCCCATTAGCCTCCCCATGGCAGGATGCACGGGAGACCCCGGACATTTGAGAAAGAATATGTTCTAGGGTGGGCTCCTGAGAAGATTCTCGGGCCCTGTTCTCAGGTCAGGAAATCAAGTATTAGTCAACACCGTGTGTTACTTTGAGGCAGACACTCTTCAGCGTCGTCCTCACCAAACAGCTAAAGATAGTATGCTGATATCTTAGTAATTGCTTATATTACAATATCTGAATAAATCTACTTACTATAAGTAGGACATACTCAGGATAATAACAAATACTGAATATCGTTTGTGCTTAATAAAATACTTTATGTCATCGAAAACATTAAAAGGTGAAGGGTTTGTACAATATGAAGAGGAACTCAAGTGTGTTATAAAACGTTAAATTACTAGGAGATTTGGTAAGTTGCCCAGAGCCCTAAGGTTTTAAGTCATAGAAACTGGCTTTTGTCTCCCAAAGGTCCTTTTCTGTACTTCAGGAGACAGACAGGCTTCCAACTAAGCGCTGAGACGCTCAGCCTAAAACAGCCCTATGAGAATAACAAGAATGCAGGCCCCCTCTGATTTTTCCTGCTAGGGTTCCATGAGCCCAACTTGACCAGCTCCTTGCTCTTCGTCTGCCGCCATGGCTTAAGGCTTGCGTCCGGCTTAACCACGGGAGCACTGCACAATATTATGTGTGAAGGGCAAAGCCCTCAACTGTTAGCCAAGAAAGACTGGTGAGCTGAGTAGATTTCCATGGCCATGGAGGGACATCCCAAGACGCCACCCTTGAGTGAACTCTTGCAGTCAGACGGCACCGATGTTATCTGGCCTGAAGTACTTATGAATCGCAAGGGGAGCGGATGCAAGCGCAGTGGTAATTAGCTATGACGACAGTCGTGATGGATGTGATAGGCAGGGTACCGAGCAGTGAAGGCCCCCTTGCTGTTCAAGCTGAGGAGCAGAAAGTAGATTTTCAGGGAAATGGTCCCAGAACTGGCTGGAGCCAGGGAAGGAGGCGGAGCCGTCTTACCTCTTCCTGGGCCGTTGGTTCACACCCAGGTCATGTCTGAGCTGCGGGGTCAGTTCCCGGACTGGGCTTTTGTTTTCTAGGTATCAGATAGAATATATAAAATGCAGAGCAAACCTCGGGGATACTGTCTGATCGTCAACAATAACGATTTCAGCATGGCGCGGCAGAACCTACCCAGACTCCGCAGGATGAGGGACAGGAAAGGAACAGAACTTGATGAAGGTACAGTCGAATCCAAAGGAGAGGCATGTTTTCTTTCTTTTTTTTTTAAGTAAAAAAACGGGGACTGGAGAGATGGCTAAGCGGTTAAGAGCATTGTCTGCTCTTCCAAAGGTCCTGAGTTCAATTCCCAGCAACCACATGGTGGCTCACAACCATCTGTAGTGAGGTCTGGTGTCCTCTTCTGGCCTGCAGGCACACATACAGACAGAATATTGTATACATAATAAATAAATAAATATTTTTAAAATAAATAAATAAATTTAAAAAAAAACGGAGAGATAATGATTTTACCTAAAAGGCCCTATGTTTTGAGAAAATGGAGTCCTAGTTCAAGGAAATGTATCAAGCAATTTTTATTCATTTTATTTACTATTTCCTTGTGGAGGTAAAGAACGTTCTTACATATCTGTTAGTTCTGCATCATGTTAAAATGGCAGCCCTCACTAAAAGGTTTATAATGAAGAGCATCAGTGAAATTTTAAAAAAATTATTTCATTTTTATTTATGAAATTTATTTATCTATGTGAGTGTGCCCATATGTGCATGGATGTCCTCATACAGAGCGGAGAGGACACACTGATAAAGTTTAGCCAGAGAGACTTTAGATTGGGGTACCAGGCAAAGGAAAAAATAAAATAAAATAAAAAGATTAAGTAAAAAGAAAAGTTGAAAAGAGAGAGTAGAGAACGTTGGATGGACCAGATGCAGGAAGTCAGATTTCTAGCCCAAGTCATCCCCAGCGTCCTGTAGATGTGGATTGCCATCTACGGATACTGAGATCTGGTGACCCCCTAATGAAATGAACGGACCCCCATCCAAGCAACCGGATGCAAAGTCCCCTGGTGAGCAACTACACTCCCAGATCCAAAGCTTTCTGTCAATGTTTTCGTTGACCAGTTAGTCAATATCAAAGAAAGGAAAGGCCAACAAGAAAAAAAAATACAGTGATATAAATGAAACTAACACAATGTAGAGAAAAACCTTTTAAAAAGCTGTATTTAACATTCTTACAGAGATTAGTAAAAAAAAAAAAGTGTAGGTTTTTTTTTTCTCTTTGCTCTTTTTAAGGGCCTGCCACCCAGCTCCCAAATAAATACATTCAGACTTATTCATACTTATAAATGCCCGGCCTTAGCTTGACTCATTTCTAGCCAGCTTTTCTTAAATTATCCCGTCTACCTTTTGCCTCTGGGTTTTTATCTTCCTATGTACCTTTCTTTACTTACTCCGTGGCTTGCTGTGTAACTGGGTAGCTGGCCCCTGGAGTCCTGTCCTCCTTTTGCTTCTTCCTCTTTTTTTCTCCCATTTTTTCTCTCTGCCTGCCAGCCCCACCTGTCTCTCTCCTGCCTAGCTATTGGCCGTTCAGCTCTTTGTTAGACCAATCAGGTGTTTTAGGCAGGCAAAGTAACACAGCTTCACAGAGTTAAACAAATAGACATAAAAGAATGCAACACATCTTTGCATCATTAAACAAATGTTCCACAGCATAAAAGAATGTAACACGTCTTTAACATTCTACAACAAAAAGATTAGTGAAATGGTATGAAAAGAAACATTAAAAATTTAGTGTATAGAAACATTGGACTGGAGAGACTCAGCAGTTAAGGGCACTGCTCATTCAGAGGACCTGGGTTCAATTCCCCGCACCCACATAGCAGCTCACAACCATGTATATAACTTCAGTTCCGGGGGAGGGGGGTCCGATGTCTTCTTCTGGCCTCTGCAGGCACCAAGCATGCATGTAGTGCACACACACATACATGCAGGCATAACACACAAAATGATAATTATAAAAAATTTAAGTATATGATCAACAAGTGTGGAAGATCAAGTCTCGGAGAGTTGGACAGAAAAGAATTGACAATGGGAAACAGAACAGGAGAATAAGAAAACAGGGACTGAGAGAGCTTGCTGCATCTTAGAAATTCTTCTTAGGAAGAAGAGCGAGGGTCGAGAGTAAGTCAACTATGTAAAGCAGCCAGGGGTCAAAACGGCATGGAATCTCATAATAGCGAACCTGGAAACTAAGATGAAAATTCTGAGGGAAGGGGATTTTGGAAAGAACACTCTCTCTATAGCCACATTGTCAGAAAGAATGAGAGTAAAAATGATCATCATGAGGCAAGAGCTCAACAAACTAGCTTCCTGGCACAGGGCTTTCACCGTGAACATTAGGTGCCTATCGACTCCAGTTAGCAGGACAGACGACCTCGCCCAGGAATCCCAGGCTCTCATTCCTGCCTGCTAGTGTTTTGTCCATCTCAGGTTGTGTTCTGTGAACTCTTGTTTCCCCTTTTACCTTTCAGACGCGTTGACTGAGACATTTCAAAAGCTTCATTTTGAGGTCGTGTCTCACAAAGACTGCACAGCCAGTGAGATTCATGAGATCCTAAGAGTCTTCCAAAGCATGGACCATGAGAACAAAGACTGTTTCATCTGCTGCATCCTCTCCCACGGAGACAAGGGCATCATCTACGGCACCGATGGGAAGGAAGCCTCCATCCGTGAGCTGACATCGTATTTCACTGGTTCAAAGTGTCCTTCTCTGGCTGGAAAACCCAAAGTCTTTTTCATTCAGGCTTGTCAAGGGGATAACTTCCAGAGAGCTGTACCCGTTGAGACCGACTTGGAAAAGGACAACTACTTAGACATGGACTCATTACCTCAAAAGAACTATATTCCAGATGAGGCTGACTTTCTGCTGGGGATGGCTACTGTGAAACATTGTGTTTCCTACCGAGATCCCATGCACGGAACCTGGTACATCCAGTCACTTTGCCAGAGCCTGAGAGAACGATGTCCTCTGTGAGTCTTGCCTTCTGGGTCTTTCTCAGGGTTATGCTACCTCACTCACAGCCATAGTCAGAGTCTGTTAGAAGATGTTTACGGTTGAGATAATATGTAGTAAAAAGTGCCCATGGTGAGTGTTTCATCTCTGAATGTAACTCATACAGTTAACGTTTTGTTGCAAAGTGGAAGAGAGGGCACATGTTACTCTCCTTAGTTTATAGATGGGAAAAACTAATGAGAATGAGGAGTTTCTTTTATTCAGCAACCAGGGCACCACAGAGCTGGACCGAATGCTAATATCACACAGTCCAGCTCTCTGTCTTTGGGCAGCAGCATGACAGAGGCTGTCTTTGGGTAGCCAGAATGACAGAGGCAAGACTCTTTGGGGAGTCTTCCCAGATGGAAATCATCCACTTTAACATATTTCAGCTTTGTCAGAAGTCTTAGTCTAGGGCTGGCGAGATAGAGTAGAGGGTCGACGTACTTGCTGCCAAGTCTGATGATTTGAGTTCGATCTCCAAGACTTGTGTGGTAGAGAAACTAACTCAAGTTGTTATAACCACCACATGGATGCCATGTTCTCTCTCTCTTTCACACACATACAAATAAGTCAATATAATTTTAAAAAATTGGAAAAGAAACCCTATATAAGCTCTCTAGTCTTTGCTCTTCCTAGTAAACAGTGGGAAGTAACAAAGAGTGGGGGACCCTATGTTTACACTAATTTGATTTGCTTTTAAGCCACATATGTGGGACACTATCCCTATGACATCAGTTCATCTTCATTTAAATCAGGGCACCATCTTTCAGGTTCCCCACGTGCGTACCCAGGTAACAGCTGAACAACGAGGAATCCTTCTGCGGGATCCTTTTAGATCTGTGTCTTATGTTTCCGGTGTGTGAAGGGTGAGCATTTCCCATAGCACATGGAGAGCAGACCATGACGTCAGTGTGGTGGCATCGTTTTGTAACACAGACCGTGAGTCCTGCGGGACCTGTGTCAGCTACACAGAGAAATGAAAAGGTCGCCCAACAAGCTTGCTCAGTCAGTTGATGACAAAGGGTGGTGGATATGGCTGCAGGAAGCGTTTGACTTTCATTTGCCCGCACGTTGGTAGAAATCTGTGCACGGTTCTGTAGGAGCAGTGTTGATCTAGGCAGAGGCTATTGGGAGCCGTTGAGGCTCTTGTGGGGCCCAGATGACCATACACGGGACACAGCAAGGAACACACATACTAGAAGGGAAGGAGCTCCGTTCTGTTGGGAATGCTGAGGCTTCCCGTCATCAGCAGAGAGCCCACACAAACCACAGATACCTCAATGGGCTCTGAGGAAACTGAGTGGCCAGGACAGCTGGGTGTCCTGATTGGTTCAGCGACTCAACAACTTCAAAACCCAAGAGACAGAACTAGAGTGCTTTCCGTGGGTGCAGCTGCGGAGGCGGTGGGCGCCGTGGTGCCCCGGATCAACACCATCTGTTGCTTTGTGTTTCAGAGGCGACGATATTCTCAGCATCCTGACTGGCGTGAATTATGATGTGAGCAATAAGGACGACAGGAGGAACATGGGGAAGCAGATGCCCCAGCCCATCTTCACGCTACGGAAGAAGCTGTTCTTCCCTCTCAACTGATGTGTGCTCCACGTGGATGACACTCGGTTAATCTATGCACCTTTTGTTTGGGGGTGGGTGGGCCCGTGCCATTTAATTTATTTTTTATGATTTCTTTTATTTTCAGGTATTAAATCATTCACCCTGGCCCTTTTCTCCCTTCACCCCTTCCCACATAATTTTTCAAATTCATGACTTCTTTTTTTCATGAGATGTTGCTACATAAATATATATAATCTTTTTCAAAAACACAACCGGTTCTATGTGCATCTTGTTACTTGTATGTCTGTTTTCAGGGCTGACCACTGTGTGTTTTTTTTTTTTCAACATGTAATTCTTCCAGGTTAGTTTTCTTTTGCAGACACTAATTCTGAGCATCTCTCTCTCCAGGGTAATTTCCCAATCAGTCGAGGGCTGTTGGGAAATATGTGCATGGTGATAAAAAGAAAAAGTTCCCTCGGGTTTTGGAGGGAATAACTTTAAAAATAGTTGCATAGCTAAGTTTACTTGGTGCAGTTAGGTGTTAAACTTGACTGGAATAAGGTGGCTCAGTGGTTAAAGTATTGTCAAACGAGTGTGAGGACCCATGTTCGAATCCCTAGGACCCATGTAAATGCCCGTGGGCATATTGACCCTCCTATAATTCCAGCGCTTGGACGGGAGAGGCTAAGATCTCTGGAGCAAGCTGTGTAGCCAGACTAGCAGTGTGGGGTGCTGGGTTTACGGAAGAGACCCTGCCTCAATGATGAAGATGGAGAGTGAATGAGGGAGACCGCACATGTGCATGCAAGAGCCTGTGAACCCTCACACATATGCTTATAGACGTGAACATGCATGCAGGCACCCCACCATACACATACATGAGAGAAAGTAAAACTTATCAATTTTAACATTGTTGTATCTTCGGTGAATATGTGTAACATTCTGGTTTTTCAAAAACGGTGAAAATGAGGTCTGGTGAGATGTGTCACTGGGTAATGGGGCTTGCTGCCGAGACCGATGGCGTGGTTTGATCTCCAGGACCAACATGGTAGAAGGAAGGAATTGACTCCCATGAGTTAACTTCTGATCTCCAAAGCACACTCTTCCACATACACACAACATATGGATGGGTAAATGTTACGCGATATTTTGTTTCTGTTCTGACAATGCTTGCCATAGAGATCCGGAGGTCTATATAGACAGGAGACAGGAAGTGATAAGGCTAGGTGGAGGGAGGAAGGAAGTGTGGAGGACCGCAACCACATACTCCATTACAAGATGGCGCTGGCATCCGGTTTTACCGCCAGGTGAACAAGGTAATGCACACGTGTTTGGTAACTTTCCACTGCTGCGTCCCCGCCTACTCCCGAGGCATCATCTGGGATAATGGGCAGTGGGCCAATCCAAGGGTGACACGTCCAAAGCAAGGACTGTTTCCTATATAAAGGATGGGTTCCCTCATTTAGGGGTCTCCGCCATGTAAGCTTATGTTCTCTCTCTCAAGACGCATTAAAGCTTTTCTGCAGGAGGATCCTAGTGTCTCGCGTGGTTCTTGCGGGTGAGACGGTAGCGTGGGACAAGTAAGAAGGCAGAGCATGAACAGGATCTGGGTCTTTTCCGTCTGAGGGGTCGGAGAAGTAAGAACTGACTGTGGCTGCCCCTTTGCTTCTCTGATCTTTCAGTGCTTACCTCGTTATCTGACTCCAGGTTTTTATTACTAAGACTAATTAGGATCATGCTTCACCTGGCACCCAGTGTGAGGTGCCAGATGTAAACAATGGCTTTTCTGTCCTGGCCAATCCCTCAGCCACTTTTAAAATAGCCACTCAGAGGCTTAATACTAATTACAAACTGGCCTATTGCTCAGACTTATTACCAACTAGCTCTTACATTTAAGTTAACCCATTTTTATGAGTCTATGTATTGCCATGTGGCCTGTGGTTTACTGGTCCTCTGACATCTTGTTCCTCGGGTGGCTGGCTGGCTTCATCTCTGACTCTGCCCTTCTTCTCCCTGTATCTCCGTTTGAACTTCCTGCCTAGCTATATTCTGCCTGAATGTTGGCCAAGTCAGCTATTTTATTCATCAGTAGAAATAAAACATATTCACAGCATACACAAGGGTTATCCCACAGCAGATAAATAGATGTAAACAAATTTTAAGTAGAAATGAGGCCAGTTGTGGTGAACCATAAGCAAATACTTGAGAGGTAGAGGTAGGAGGGTCAGGAATTTAGTGTCATCCTCGGCTACAAAATGAGTTTGAAGCCAGCCTTTAAATTGACGTACTTCTAGTTAACAGTCGACCAGAAAGTTTTATTTTTCTTTCTGGAAGTCTTAAGTTTTTGTTTTTGTTTTGTTTTGTTTTTGAGACCAGGTTTCACTGTGTCACAGCCGTGATCATCCTGGAACTCACTCTGTGGACCAGGCTGGCCCTGAACTCACAGAGACCCACCTGCCTCTGCCTCCCGAGTGCTGGGATTAAAGGTGTGCGCCACCCTTCCAGCTTTTGGAAGTCTTTATAAAAGAAGATTTTTAAAAATGTTTTGTAGAATAATAATATTAAAGCAAAGCTATTTTTAAGAAGTATTTTATTATGAAATTCTCACAAATATACAAAAAGTAGAGAAAGCAGTAGTAGCACGGCAAAGCCATGTGTGGTCTGTCTGTCCTAATTGTATCCTGACCTGCCTGCTTCGGGTGGATTGGCTGGAGTCCCATAAAAGGAATACTTTCATATCTGTATAAAGACGATGCCATGGCATTTCATCTGTATTTTAATAAATAAACTGCCTGAGTAACAGAAAAGTTAAATAGCCCACTGGCCAGCCTTACAGACCAGGCAGCAATGACACACACCTTTAATCCCAGCAGCCGCGCTAGATTGCCATAGAAACCAGGCAGTAGTGGTGCACGCTCTTAATCCCAGAACTAGAGAGGAATATAAAATGGGAGGACACAGCTCCCAGGCTCAGTCTCATTCTGAGGTTCCTTGCAGGCAGGATGGCCATTTTTGGACTGAGGTCGAGGTAAGAAGAGCCAGTGGTTGACTGCTTTGCTTTTCTGATCTTCAGGTTGAACCCCAGTATCTATCTCTGAGTTTTTATTAATCATGCTACAAGATGAGGTGCTTTTGCAATAGCTAAGTCTTTTAAAACATCAAAGAACAGTCAGTATTAAAAATTTCCCAATCTTCTTGCATTTTTTGCAGCTCGAATAATGATCTAGCAAGATCTTTATCTTGGATTTTGTTTGTATTTCGAATTCCATCTTAATGTATAGATTTTTTCTATATTTAAAAAACTGAGTCGTTTGTCCTACAAATTATTCTTTAGTATATATTATACTGAATTTGTGTTGGTAAAATTATATATTTTTGTAAATAAACTGTCAGCTAGAAGAAAAAGCGTTTTTTTTAAAAAATAGAACAAATTGTGAAAAGAGCGTACTGTTTCTAGGGATGGCTGTGTTTGCCTCTGCTGTTTCCGCTTTTTTGTTTGCTTGACAAATGGCATGTTCACGCGTGGGACACATTCAGCCCCTGGTAATGACTTCCACCCTTCCCCAGCTGTGAAACAACACTCATTGTTGATCCTTAAAGAATCACTTTCACATAAAAACCAAATTTGACCAGGCAGCGGTGGCTCACGCCTTTAATCCCAGCATTCAGGAGGCAGAGGCAGGCACGCATTTGTGATTTCGAGTTCCTGAGAGGCCTGGGGGTGGCAGGGGAGGCAGACCAGAGCCCAGACGGGTTCTCCTAGTAACCCTGATAGAGACCAAGCCTTAGTTTCAGTTCACTAAAATGAGCTGGTCCTCAGGAAAATCACAACGTAGGAACAACCAATCAGCAGGTGCCCTACAGCCTTCTGCCAGCTCAGCACGCTCCCAAAGCCCCTTTGCTGCCTCAGCAAGGGGCCCCCTACCCCCAGTCTCCTGATAACTAAAGATAGCTACTGGAAGGTCCCCAACCACTAGAACCTCCCACCAATCAGCTCCAATTAATCCCTCCTCCCTGGAATTGTCCTGACTCTGCTTAAAAGAAGCTTGTGACCGTCTTGGGGGTTGCCATGTGCCACCCCAACGTTAGAATTAATAAAGTGATCTTGTTATTGCATACGTGACTGGTTTTTTCCTTGCGGGGCTTCTCTTGGACCCTAACAGTTCTAAGACAGTCTCTGTCTCAATAAACAAACAAGCAAAAAACCACACCAGAATTTGTTTTTCAATCATAGTGACCCCCTGCACCCAAATGGCAGGCAAGCTAACGAGTCTAAGAAGTGTGATGAGGGACAGGTGTGGCCCTGAGTTCACCTCGGTTTGTGGTCTAGTCTCCACACAGGCTTTGGCATGCTGCTTATGTGATGGGTTCCTGTGTGTCCACCCCACTTCCATGTAGATGTTGCTGCCCTATGTGTGTCTGGATTCTCCTGATGATCAGAGACAGGGTAGATCATCTATTAGTCTTCTTGAGTCGTTGGGCTAAAGCATATGATAGATCAGAGAATAATTTTATGTTTGGAATTAAAACAATTGTCTGGCTTACTATGTGCCCTCGGGGGACAAGACTCACACCTCATAATGCATCATTTCATAAGAATTCCCTTCAAACCAGTCTCCGATCAAAATCTGTAAGAAGCTGGAAAGAAAATAGTGCACAGCGCACAGAGGGTTCAGCCTCAGGATAGACGACAGCAGTTTCCACAGAAGAGTCACGATATAATTGAGAGAAGATTTCAAACATTTCTAACTATTGTGGAGAACAAAAACTAAAAAAAAAAAAAAAAAAAAAAAGAAAGAAAAAAGACAAAAATAAAGTCGTAACAACCCATCTGCCTTTCTCCATGCCGGAGTCCGTGGTTCCATAGGAGCTGCATTGCTGCGTGTGCAGCTGGGGAGCGCGGTTCGTTACCTACGATGCTTGCTTTTTGTTGCTGCTGGGTTCGGGAAAGTCAGACTCACGCATACAGGGAGTAGCAGATGCCTCTGCCTCGGATCTTTTTTCAGACATTTCCTCATTCTTGGTCACTATCTTTTGCCTGTAAGAAGAACCGTGCATCACTGGTATAGCCTCAAAGGGCAGAGAAGCGTGGTT